CCCATGTCCCCCCTACCCCATCCCTTGCAGCCCCTCGCTCCCTCCGGACCGGCACGTAGCGGCGGGTGCGACGGAGACAGAGGATGGGCCAGCGCGCGTATGAAAATGGAAAACTCGGCCGTCGCTCTTCACGCGACAGCGCGCTCGGCACAACAAGGGGTTCAAATCCCCAGCCGGGAGGCTGCTCGGCTGTTTTCTTTCCATCCCCCTTTTGCGGACCGCGTTGTCGAGCAGCGCGTGTACGGTCCTTACCTTGGGCTGCAGCTGCTGCGTGTCCGCGGCCGGGGCCGGCGGCGCGGCGGGCGCCGTCGAGGCGCTCAGGGTGCTGGCCGTGCTGCCGTACGACGAGGACAACCTCGAGTCCTTGCCGAAGTCCCCGCTGGCGCCCGGGGACGGCGGCGACGACAGGCACAGCGGCAGCGCGTCGCACTCCCCCAGGAAGGCCTCCGCGTCTCTGTGTGGGGCAGGCGGGTACAGTGCAGGTGAGTTCACGGGTCCTGCTGCGGCGGGGCGGGCGAGCGGCCGGACCACACTGGACCACTCGGCGGCGGTGGACAAGGAGCCGAGCGCAAAAACAAAGTCGAGTCAAGGGCGTCGTGCAGCAATATGTACGGCCGCCGTCGTCTTGCATGTAAAAACACGGGGAACTGGGGACGGGCGGGTGGCAGCAGCGACGGCGGCGTGGCTGGCGGGGTCCACGGCTGTCACGGGCGATAACATGGCGAGACAGAATGCCCGCCTTTTGCCGAATGAAAAAGTGGCTCGCGCGCGGCTGCTGCCTGCTGGCGCTAAAAAGTGAGATGGCGGCGCCGCGCCTCGACCTTTCGCCCCGGACAACACTCCGGGAGGTCCATTATCACACTGAACCCGCACAGGCTGTGAGCCCCGTCGTTTCTTCCGAGCCGGCTCGCGGCCCTGCAGGGGGATTTTGCTCAACTGTCCTTTCTGAGCGGACAGCAGGATCCGGAGACGGTGTGCGACATCACCTGTCCACGCAAACAGACGGCGGCGGCAAGGGGACAGCAGCTGGACCGGGAGGCTCGACCGCGAACGGCCTTGCGGACGCCAACCGGCGCCGTGGTCACTTACCTCTCGAGCGACGGCATGGTGTGCTTCGTTGCTGCTCCTCTCGACGCGGACGTTGCGGCACCACAGGCTGCTCCAGACGGCAGGCTCGACAACGTCCGCCCAGCGCAGGTGCGATGCGAGAGCCGGCGACCGAGTCTACTCAGCGGCGGCGGCGGCCGGCCGATGAGGTAAAAGAGTTACACGGAGAAGAGGGGGACCCACCCGACCGGACCAGTCAGGTTTTGCGGTGAGGCAGGCGGCGGGGCAGCGGGGGCCCGCGCGAGGGGATCGCCGCGGCTCTGCTGGGCGGCCCGGTGTCGCGACGCCGCGCCTCGCCACGCCCGGTGCGCGATGGTGTAGGAGGGGACGGCGGCGGCGGACGACACGCGCGAGTGAGGGGCCCCGGCGGCGGCGCGGCGCTATATGCAGGGGCCTCTCCCGGGTGCCAGCCCCGCCGGGGGTGCACGCCGTCCAGGCCAGAGGGCCCCGGGGCCCAGCAGCAGCGCCGGGCACCCAGCAGCCGCCCGGCCGTGACGCGGGGCACGTCTCGCGGACCGACGTCACCGGGGACCCCGGCGTGGAGCAGCAGCAGCAGCAGCAGCAGCCCTCCTCCCGGGCCGCAGTCCACGCTGCCCAGCCGGCTGATAAGCCGCGCACTGAGGCTTTCGCTGGACCAGCGCCGGCCTGATAAGGCACCCGTCTGTAATAATATACACTCGGGCTATTTATAGCAAAGTCCCCCACGGCGGAATTAATTTTAGCGGCCGCCGCGGGAGGTCCGGGCTTCATAATCGTCGCAGGCAGCACTTTCGTTTTCAGTACATCTGCTGCAAGTGCTTGATTTTTTTAGACAGTCCCCACGACTGTCTCTACCAGGTCTCTACCAGAAGCCGAAAGTGTGCCCCCCCTCCTCCAAACTTCTGCTTTACAACAGCCGCACGCGACGCGAGCAGGGGCTCGGGTCGGGTGTTTTTATTTTATTTTTTGTGCACCGGTGGTGGTGGTGGTGGTGGTGGTGGTTGATTCGACATTTGTCGGACACTTTGGGCTGATGATAGCTGACAGCGGGAGGGCTGTGCTACAGGCTAAGGTAATCGTGCCACACTATGTATGGTAGTGCTAATTGTGCCTGGTTCTTCGTGCTTTTGGTGAGCCGCTTGCTTCAGCTGCTTCAGCGTTCTGGGGGCCGACTTGACAAAGTACGGGTCCCAAGGGTTCTATAATTCTGCTGCTCTCCTATCCTCCGGGGGACCCCGAGTAGTGGATCGAGCACGAGACGAGGTGGTGGTAGCCCCAGCTGGTCGACTGACATGCAGCATGCGAGGCTTTATAGTGTATTTCGGCTAACGGAGGAAGAAGAAGAGCGGGTAGACCATAAACGTTTCAGGTTGGTCGAGAGATTCCCGCCTCTGTGTCACACCGGTAGAGGAGGTAGAGGCTCGATCAATCAGGAATCTTTATGTTCTACCCGCTCTTTTTCTGCCTCCGTTATGGCCGAAATACACTATTCTGGGCCGCTCCAGGTGTTCTCTACCGTGGCCTTACCTGGGCCGCATCGACGGCATGCACCTTCAGGATGCACATGACCCACATTGAGGACTTGGTTTTCAGTTTGTGTGGCATTCTTTTCGGCAGATGAAAGTTGCCGAAACGTGTCGTTGGTCGGGTCCGTTTAAGAGGCATGCGTTATGCGCTGTATTTGTTTGTCCTGGTAAAAAAGACCTAGTTTTGCCTGCCGGGCTTTTTGTGACAAGCCCAAGTAAAACGGGAAAGTTTCCATAAATACGTCATATTTTCGTCATTTATTACAATAACGTCGCAAGGAAATGCGCCATTTGTTATGTACATAATGACAAAAACTTCTATAATATGACTTAGTTTTGACCTATAACTATGGGGGAAGTCCAGGAAGAGGGCAGTGTTCAGTGCTATCACAGAAGGGGGAAATGTGTCACGTTGAGCAAGGGGCGTTTTCATGTCTGAAAACAACGACGACCGCGTGTGCCGAGAGAGTGACGAAACGTCGCGTCACTCTTCCACCAGCCTCGATAGGGTTGTGTAGATCGGGCCGAGGCCGGCGCCGATCAGAGCCCTGGCGCTAGGTCAGGGGCGTCGCGAATGTCGTGGCGCTAGGGGCGTCAGAGTGCGTCACGTTGGAATTATGTTTGCACCGATGCGAAAAATGGCGTTTGTACCTGTTCCGCACGCTTCAAATGTCAGCTTCCTGAACGAAACGAAATGAGTACGTACGGATTTTTGAAAAGGAAAAGCAGCCTAAGTGTAGAAGGGCCACCCAGCAGGCCAGGCCTTTGCACATGCACAATCTATATGTCGCATCTGGGCTTCAAGTACATTTTCTCGATTGACGTCATGCGGCCATAACTCGTCCTCTCACTCACTATTATTATTATTATTATTATTTTTACATTGTGTTTGTTATTGATCGCCTTGATACGTATGGGCAAGACGGGAGCGACGTTGCATCAGCACCGGAAACTTGTGTAGCGCAAACTTGTATGTGTTGTAGGCAACTAGTGAGAGCATTCACAATTTCATAAGAAAGAGCGCTCTTGAAATTATACATTCACAGATGATTTTAAAAATAATTTTAGCAAGTATCCCGCTGCAAATCATATGTTTCCCGCCATTTGTGTGGAGAGTGGCAGCCCTGGCCTCCACAGGGCCTCTTAAAACAGGCTTTAAAGCACTGGACGGGAACTTTGTGCGCTAAGCAAGCAAGCATCATCCCCTGAAAGGTGTTATTACTTTTTTTATCGTATATTTCGTGGTGGGATTTCTCATTTTTATTAGATTACTGTGAAGTACCGGTATGTTGGCAACACATGCCAAACGCAAAACCTGGATGTAAACAAATATGGCGGCGCTCATGGTATTTACTCATGCTCTCCCAAAATTCACCGTCCCCAGAATATCTAATGTTTCCATGACAAAATAGTTCGTTTTATTCGATTTAATTTTGAAGTATTTCGACTCATATCGTCGAGAGGATTTCTCTCTTAAGTGGTGTTTTCCACTGGACTTTGGCTAACCCCCTTTTCATCAATGGAAAATTCAAAGGGAGTTGAAGTTATCCTAGATCAGCTAGAAGACAACCCCTCATGTCCTCATGGTAGGATTAAACTGTTAAACTAGATTGTTTCTCTTTGTCTTTTTGTGAATCTTTCTTGTGAGACTACTTTGATGTCAGGTCCAACAATCCTATTCAAGCGATTAACGGATGGAGAGGAGCAGAAATTCTATGCGTGTGCAGCTTGTAGGGACAGAAAAGACTGTAATTTTTTTATGAAATTTGGAGAGGAATGGACAGTTAAAAAGAAGCAGCTGTGGGATAAAAGAAAACTTGCAGTTCTTCCTGAGATAGACCATGATCAACTAATATCAAGGTATTTGTTAAAGCAGACTTGTAAACATTAACTTCCATCACGTGTATTGACTCGTTTGTCTTTCAGATTTCTTAAGGTTTCTGAACTACCAAGCACAGAATGCTGTTATTGCCACACGTGTAATCTACTTTTACTTCCTGAGGAAAACAACTGTCATAGTACCCATGACCAGACAAGGAATGTCACTAACCATCAACTTTTCCATCCTTCAGAAGTAAGTGACATCATTTATGGGTTTTAAATAACTTAAGTACAATTTTTATAAAAATTTTAATAATCTATTTAGAACTTAAAAACACAATTAATGATATGGCATTTTATCACTTTGGTAAATATATTAAGCACATCACAATGGACTTTTAATCACAATCATAAGCAAGAATGTATCCAGTAGTCTTTACCCTAATTCAGGAGATCAACAGATGTACGTCTCCTGCCTAATTTTTATTTAACAAAAGCTGACAAACTCTAGAATTCACAAGGAAATGATTATTTTTGCATCCTATGTAACTTTAATGCATATTTATTATTTGAGCGAGTACTCAGTCTTATTTAAATTGAACATTAACTTTGGTTTGTTTAGCTTCATTAATTTATTTATTTTTTTTATATAGTAACTTGGTTAGCTATTATTTACTTATAAACTATTGGCCACTGTGTTGGCTGTGTGCACGGGAAACCTTCTTCTCTTCCACACAAACGGTTGAATGTTGTGTTCCTTTGGAATCCCATTATTTCTCTTTCCTCCTGTATTCGAAAGGAAAACGTTGATTCATGGGTACCTATGAAATACTTTGCATGAGAACAAATTATTTGATCTACTATAGCAACACCTCCATCTTTAATTTCAAATTTCAGAGTTGGTGATGGTTCAAAGCGCAAAACCTTAAACTTTGAAAGATGAGTTTTTAGTTCTGCAAATTCTGCTTTTGGGGCATCAGTTGCTATAAAGATTTTCCGCAATTGCAGCTCCTTCATTTTTTCTTCTATCTGCTCTGCTGCAAATTGAAGGTCAGGAACCTGCTTGGCACGGCCCCAGAGAAAATCTTTCCTTCTTAGATGCACGGCAAGGTATGGTCCCCCTCCTCTGGTTGTCTGTTCTTTCTCCTCAAGCCAATCTTCTGGTCTGTTTATTCCATCATAGTCATCTGAAGAATCCAAATGTGTTTTGCGGAACCCTTTAGCTATCTCAACTAAATGGTGAGCAAATCTCATACTGCGACGACACTCCCAATATACATGGTCTCCATATGTGTCATGCAAAGCAACTTCTGCATGATCAATCATTACCACTTTAGCTTTGCTTTGATTCAATAATCCTTTAAGAAGTGTAGCATGCCCTTGAAATGAAGCACATTCTACTTTCTGCGCTGTTAAGTTTTTGTAGGTCCAAAAAGGTCCCTTGAATGCCTTTCCAGATTTACTATATGGTGTACTTTCAATGCAGGCTTCAATGCTCCAACGGTCTTGCCATTCCTTTCCTTCATCCCACATGTCCTTGTAGTGTTGAAGAATATACACCTCATCAATGGCCGGTCTGTGTTTTGGTATTTTTCCTAAAAATTCTTCCATTTCTATCACAGGGGCAAACTTCTGGAGGCTCTTCACATCAAAAAACATCCTCCAGGGTAGCTTAATTTGTTCCCCGACATTTGAGGATTGCCAATGGTACAGCTGACTCCAAGGGGGAAGCACTAATCTCCAATTTTCTTTCTTTTTTATCCTATGCATGAATATTGCAAGTCTCATGTATACATCACGCCGTAAGTTGAACCCTTCAGGTGGATTAACATCATAGAGTAGGTAGCGTACTGATAATGGCGATGAGAATGTGTCTTTCTCTTCCACTGAGTCGCCACAGTCTTCTTTTGGCTTGTCTATTGCACAAAAACCAGTATTTTCAGCTGCTGTCACTGTCGCTAAAGAACCAAACCATAGGATGGCTACCAGCAGACGGGTTAGAACTGCCATGTTAGACAGTGAGTGAAGGTTCATAATTGAATGAAACTGGCACTTTTATGTTCTTCCCTGCTTCTAATTGAACATCTTCAGCTGGCTGTGAAGAGGCGAAGCTGACGACTTGCGCTGTTGGAGAGAGATCTGAATCAGCACGAACGTAAACAACTTGGTTCCCCTGTTTGCCCGTGAAATGTTCTTGTTCCTTTGCTTCTTCACACTTCTCCTCAGTTTGTCAAACCGCACTTTTAATTTTAGTAATTTTGTTATGAATTTGCAGATGAGTTTCATTTCCACGGCATTTCGTTTGCATCCTAAATGTAATATTTGTTGCTTTATTGTCTACTCCTCGCAAACAAGGGCGTGTTTTATTGTTATTACACCCACTGGATGTTATCTTCATGTTGGTGAAACTGAGAACGCAGGACGCGGGACTTACGATGCGTTCGACGGTGCCGCCCTTTGGCTCCGCAGGCCTCAAGCAAAGAATCTTGAGAAAAGGCGTTGATGGACTTTGTTTAATTGTTACTTTTGTCGTTGATCCCAGCTCCTCAAACCTCAAGAGAGTGCCAAGAAGGAGGCACAGTATCTGTTTGCCAAGAATTCGACCAAAGTCATAGTGGACATGTTGCGTAGCGCGGGCGTCTGCAAAGTTCTCTGTGTTGGTGCTCCTCGCATTCATGAATTCATTAGGAGTGAATACCCTGGGCAAATGCGAAGTCTTCTATTGGATTTCGACCATCGTTATGTAAGTTATTTAAAGCGCCCCCCCCCCCTTGTTGTACGATATGGTTCTTATGCCAGCCCAGGAAATGATCTTCAATTCAATTACAGCATCAATTTTACAAGAAGGGGGAGTTTGTGTGGTTTAATGCATTTAACTGTCACTGGTTTGCGGGTGAAGACGGTAAAGCAGTGACACTACAGTTCATGAAGGAAGCTGATGGCATGGAGATTGCAATAGTCACTGACCCACCATTTGGTGGCCGTGTTGAACCTCTAGTATATACTTTCCAACGCCTGGATGAAATGCACAAACAACTTCATCAATCCAGAATCAACCCTCTAATGCGTAATTATTTTCTTTCCACACATTTCTCATACTTTTTCTTATTTTATTTCATAATTTTCTGTTATGCTGATTGTGCCTTCTGTTTGCAGTGATGTGGATTTTTCCTTATTTCATGGAACCTATGATAGTTACCAGTTGTCCAAGTATGTCCATGCTTGACTACAAAGTTGATTATGACAACCATCCTCTTTTCCAACAAGGTACATTATCTTCAAAGTCCTCCATAAGTTAATCTACAAAGAAGACACTTATAAACTGTTCAATTTTGATGTGTATAATTAATTTATATGTTGTAGGTCAGAAAGGTCGTAAATATGGCTCACCTGTTAGAATATTTACGAATATTCCTCCATCCAAACTTCCATTTCCTGAAGAAGAAGGCTATCGCCATTGTGATTTCTGTGAGAGATGGGTCAGTTTAGAAAATAAGCATTGCTACAAGTGCAACAGCTGTACATCAAAGGTATTAAAATCTAACTTTACTTTAAGAAAGACAATATATTATTAAAAAGTATTTAGAATTATTAAAGTTACCTATTTTTTAAAGGATGGCCGTACCTATGTCCATTGTGACAAATGTTCCCGTTGTGTCAAACCAACTTGGAAGCATTGTAAAGAATGTAAGCGTTGCTGTCTACCTGATCATAAGTGTGGTGAATTTAAACCCTCAGGGTGCTTTGCATGCCACCAACCAGGGCACAAGAAGAATGACTGTCCATTAAGAGCTACTACTAAGGTACTTTTAAAAATAAATTTCTCTCTGTATCACAAAATTTTTGGTCTTCTGGAGCATTATATGCATTTCATGCATCATATGTTATTTCACTTGCAGGTTGATTCCAGTGCCAATAGACCCAGGAAAAAAACAAAGATCAATAAAACAAACAGAGCTGCAGTAAAAAGGAAAAATACTACCCCACCCTCTGGGTCTATTCAGAAAAAAAGGAAACAGTGAATTGAAAGACAGTGACCAAATGAAAGCTCTGGATTTTAAAATACATTCTAATACATCTCGAGAATTTCTTATGGAAAGAGCAGTTTATTCTTTAAGTGGACAGCCCTACATGGTTTTTGCACAATACTTGCCGTACATTCATATTGATACGAGATTGTTCAATGTACCTATGAAAAGGTGACCAAAATTCTTCTTTAAGAATATTATCAATCAAGTTCTTTCTCTCTTGCTTGATGCTTGTTTGCTTCTCATTTAAATTCTCGGTCGAATCAGTGTGAGTCTTTTTGCATGGAGGATAAGGACAGTCTTCACTAGACTTTTGTCCTCCAAGGTTTGCACTGGGTCTATTTGAATTTTGAAAAATATTCCAAGGAAATTCTTGAGCAGCAACTATTTTGGGGATTCCATGGTAACACTCTCTGCTGTGTTTGGACATTATTACAATATCTCCGCTCTTTATATACATTGCTGTTGGTGCTTCTTCTAATGATTTACCTCCAAGGAGGAAGATTGCAGTTTGACCAAAGCTGTTAAAAATTACAATAATTTTTATCTGAATTGAATAAATGCCCTAAAAATGCAGTTATTAATGATTTATGAAGCAAAGTTGCTGTTAAACTACCTGAATGAAAATAAGGGTGCTGACATATCCTCCTCTGAGTGATCTGTATGTCCAGAAAGTGTGGAGTCAAAATGATAAAAGTTGACTATTGCTGCCTCAGCACTAAAATTGTTGTGGCAGCCAACTATGCGTCCAACATACTTAGCAAGTACAGCTAGTTCACTAGGAAATGGATCCTTTGCGTTTTCACTGTAAGCCTTTAAAGATAGACAATTGTTTACAGATCTGAAAGATGAAATAGGAAAGAAGACAGAGTTAAGTGGAAGACATTTAGTATCTATTACCTTTGTGTCCCAATTATGATGGTAACCTAAAGTGGCCCATCTCAGTTTCTTGCGCAGTGACTCCTGATCTTCCCTAGAATTTAAAAAAAATTTAATCATGTACTTGAAAATGAAATTTAGGTATTTGGTTTTAATAGGATTGTTCTTACCTTTGAGAAATATTCCACCAATTTTTAGATGAATCCAGAATATTATGTGCATCAATGTTTAGTCTGTTTGGTTTACGCGTATAATCATGTAAACATCGATATATCCAGAACCTTTGACCGATTGGTGTAAATGGGTTTCTTATAAATAACAATCCTTAAAAATGAAACAAGTGCTTTATAGGCAAAATTCTACACTACTTAGATATTATAATATAAACAAAGACATCATAATTTACCTGGATTATCTTTTAGTTCATAAATGTTCCATTCAGAAGGGGGCAACATTAAACTGGCGATAAAATTTTCCTCCTCGCTTTTTATTTTGACATATTCGTCTTCAACAGCTTTTATACTCTGAAATTGGAAGAGGTTGAAATTATTTTTTTTGGGATCGCCAACTATCAGCATGGTTAAAATAGAACTCGCAAAGTACAAGTGTGTCTCAAAATGCTAATTTAATTATTATTTTTACCAGCACATGTGAAAATAACCTGCATAATTTGTCATTTTGAGTGTTTCTTACCTGAACAGCAGATTCTGCTATGATATTTGAAAAGTCTAAAACTTTATTCAAGTCGGGAAGTGGACATTTTTGCTTGTAGTATTTAAAATCAGTCCTAAATTTATTTGAATTATCCATTATTCAATGTCAAAATATGGTTTGTTGTGGTTTCTTGAGAAGAGGTGTTTGGGTTTGCCTTCTGCCAATAATGTCGCGGGCTCAAGTCGCACTAGTGATTTCTTTTTCAAGAGAATTGACCTTGGTTTATTCTCTACAAGAACCTTAACATGTAAAATAGATAGTATGCTTTGGAATAAATATAAGAACAATTTGTTGGCAAAATGAAGATTTATGTGTAAGATTTCGTTCTTTAGGTTTGTCGCCATGAAAGAGAGATGGGGGATGGGGAGGGGTTAAGGGAGGCGGGGGGTGAGGGGTGAGGGAGGAAGGGCGCTTCTGCTAGGCTGCTTGAGTGTTATCAGTGCCAATTTAGAATGCTGTGCTGTACTTGGTGAGGCTGGAGAGCACTGTCACGCTGTGCAAAGGTTACACAGAAAATCATTCGAAATGAAAGGACTAACCTGTGTCGGATCTTTACTCCTCAAGGTAACCTTCATTATTATCGCCGAAACTAAACACTCGCTGTACCTAACCTGATTATTTTGACAGCTGACATTTTCACCTCTAGACTGTTTGTATATTGTTAGCGTTTATCCCCAGTTAACTCTTGTTAGCCTATCTTATCTCACTGTTTGTATGTTGCCATGTGGTAGGGTCACAGCAAGAATACCAAAGGGTATATAACCAGGCTGGCTGACTTTCAAATTCCTAGTTGGTTTGAAAAAGTTGTTATAACTGCATGTTCTGTGTCCTTTTTTTTTCTAATCTATCCAGAGAAGTACCTTGCACATCTTGCAACGAAACATGTCGCTTGTTCGTGATAAAGCCTTTGTTAATGGGGAATGGGTGACATCAATGAAGGGGAAGAAATTTGATGTGGTCAACCCTTCCGATGGAAGTGTAATAGGACAGGTGCCTGATATGGATGTGGAGGACACAAATGCAGCTATTCAGTCTGCACATGATGCCTTCAAACCATGGGCCAGCACAACTGCTAAGGTAAAGGCACAGCTGGGAAATATGTGTATTCTATAGAAGACTATATGAAAATTTATCATACAACGTTTTTCTATAGGAGAGATCAAATCTTCTACGCAGATGGTTTAATTTGCTTGAGGACAACAAAGAAGAGTTAGCCCGCATAGTCAGCATTGAGGCAGGCAAGCCATTTAAAGAATCACTTGGAGAAGTGTTCTATGGAAACTCATTCATTGAATGGTTTTCAGAAGAAGCAAGAAGAATAACGGTATGAGTTTACTATCTTAACTGATAAGTCTTTACCAAGAGCTGGTCTTCATATTCTGTACATTGTTGCAGGGAGAAATTGCAGCAAGTCCAGCAAAATCGAAAGAAATGCTGTTTATACGCCAACCAATTGGAGTAGCTGCTCTTATTACACCGGTATGACTCAGTGGACATAATTTGTCTCTTACCTTGAAAAAGTCCACTACAATTTTAAAGCTGTTAATCTTCACATTTTAGTGGAACTTCCCACATGCAATGATAACAAGAAAAGCAGGAGCTGCTCTTGCTGCTGGATGCACATGTGTGATCAAACCTGCTGAAGACACTCCTCTCACAGCTTTGGCATTGGCTCAACTAGCTCATGATGCTGGAATACCTAAAGGTGTTCTCAATGTTATCACCTCGAGTCGAGAAAATGCTGCTCCTATGGGAAAGCTCCTTTGTGAAAGTCCACTTGTGCGAGGCCTCTCTTTCACTGGTATGTTACTGTGAAAAGAAATATGATTCTTTTACCGCAATTCTTTTTTATTACCTCAACAAAAGTTAAAGGAAGCATTTAATTTTAAATTTTTAAGGTTCAACCGGAGTTGGAAAATTATTGTATCAGCAATGTGCAACAGGTATAAAACGCGTATCTCTTGAACTTGGAGGGAATGCTCCTTTCATTGTATTTAAATCCGCTGATTTGGATAAAGCAGTGGCAGGTGCAATGGCTTCCAAGTTTAGAAATTGTGGGCAGGTACGAAATGGCAACAAATGGTTTTAAGCATTGTCCTTTATCTCTTGGTGGCATTAATTATCAACAATAATGACCTTTTTTTTATTTTTCTACAGACTTGTGTCAGTGCCAATAGATTCCTCATAGATGAATCTATTTTTGATGATTTTGTTGAAAAATTGAAGAAAACCATGATGAAAGAGCTTAAGCAGGGCAAAGATGAGAACTGCAACACTGGACCTCTGATTAATATTTCTCAGCTTCATCGAGTAAGCTACCTTTTAATTTAGGGAAAAACTTTATTTGTTAAAGAGACAACTTTGTGCGAATTTGAACTTTTCAGGTGGACAATATAGTTCAAGATGCTGTGAAGAAAGGAGCCAAAGTGCTTCTTGGAGGAGGCCCGGCAAAAGACTTGGGGGAAAGATGGTATCAACCCACTTTAATCACAGATGTCAAACCTGATATGATCTGTTACAATGAAGAAATATTTGGTCCAGTTGTAGCCTGCATCAAGTAAGCAGGTTTTCTTACAGTCCATTACATTTTGCACCAAATTTATTTTCAGTACTTTTTAGCTATCACATATTCTTTGTTTGCCAGATTTAAATCAGAAGAAGAAGCTTTGAAGATTGCAAATGATACACCAGTTGGTCTAGCTGGCTACTTTTACAGTGGGGATATTGCTCAGTGCTGGCGTGTTGGTAAAGCACTTGAAGTTGGTATGGTTGGAATCAATGAAGGCATGATCTCATGCACAGAGGCAGCATTTGGTGGTGTTAAAGAGTCAGGAATTGGGCGAGAGGGCTCACATCATGGAATTGAGGAGTATACAGATGTGAAATATCTCTGCTTTGGAAATCTCTAAGCGCTCTCTTTTTTACTTCATAATGGCTCACTGTTTGTGACAAGCTATGTTGTCTGCATAACTGTTTATGATTCACTATGAATCAGTAATTGTCTTGTCTTCATTGTACTAGTTCACATTTTCAAAGGAAAGATGTTCTATAGCTTTTAGTTTCTATGATACAAATACTAGATTATACCTCAATATGCTTTCATATCAAGCAGCAACATAGTGTAACATTCCAATTCCACTCTAAGTCTGAAAATCATGTGCAAGTTAGAACTGCTTGCATTTGATGCTGAATCGTATTTTCATAGACAGTATCTACATGTTTCATGTTTGTTGTGATTTTATTTTCTATTGTAAATGGTTTTTAACTATAATAAGATGCCACTCAGTCTTCCTGTAACTGTGAATTACTTTATTTTAGTACATAGTTCAAAGTTTTGAATGACAGACTGTAGATGTCATGTGTCATAACATCTTTTTTCTTTTAATTTTAGTAAATCAAAGACAATATTCAGGGCCTGAGCTGACAGCTTAGGTTTATTGCTCCGTATGAATTTTCAAGTACAAAATGATATCGCCATGTCTTCCAAGTGTTGTTTATGTGTGTCTTCCAGATTAGTGCCATATTTAATATATGTATGTAACGTGAAGTATTCAATAAATTTGTTATAGCTCAATGTCGCTTAAGTTATTTCATTTCAGATCAGATTCAGATTTTGTTCACCCAATACCTCCCCCACCACTCAGCACAGTTTTTGGATTCTCCACATGTCTAGTTGAGAAGGCAGTATCAATGAAAGAGTGTGATTTTGGACAGAAATAGGATGTTGCAACCTAATTTGAGAAAAATAAGTTCTTCACTCTAAAATCTGCACCATGGCTTTCAAAATTCATCCAATGCAAATTATGATGTCTGGGCATGTACTCTGTTACATTTTGAAAAAGAACACAAAGTACAAACGCCTATACAAGGCAGATCCTGGTAAAATTGTCTGTAATTGACAGCAGTTTTATTAAACATTGACCTTAAAAAATAACTCCCCAGAAAATTGATAACAGAAAATCAGTAAAACAAAACAAACAAGTAGTGAACACACTATACTTCTAAACAATAGTTAAAATGTAAAAAATTGACTTCCAAGTCTACACAGATTGAAAGATTATTAAAAATAGCTGACGTACAGAATTCATTTTTGGCAGCTATTTAAATTATTGTTGTTGACATTTATCACAATAACGGCTCAACATTAACAATTGAAATTGTCTCTTTTGTAATCCCAATTACATGTCCCATTGGTATTGAGTTGACTTAAAAAAATAATTGAAGGGCCTGCTATCAAATTCCTAAAATTCATTTAAATTGGTAATTACATCAGAAAATAGGGATGTTATTTTTGAAAGCATAATTGTAAGGGATATGACCAGCATTCTGAATGTATACTGGTACTTAATTGACTACTGTATCACAGTATATGGCTCCCGGTACATATAGTGTCATTGGATATTTAAAGACTTGTAAATTCTATGACAGTTCATATTTTAAAAGAATAAACACCATGATTCTGATGTGACCACAGTGGTTCTGCAGTAGACTCCCTTTAAAAGTTGTGTTGGCCAAATAAACATCAAAATCTCACCATGGACTCAGTTTGAGTTAACTCAACTCAACTCACTTTGAGCACAACAGGACACACACCACACACCCAGTGAGCAATGCAGTATCAGACCGATATCAAAACGAGGTCAGATATCAGAAATTTGTCGGTTTTCGCATCAGATTGATAAAAATGTGGTCCTGAAATTGACATGTTTCTGATAACTGATATTGTTCTGACATCAGTCTTACATTTCATTGCTCACTGGGTAGTGACATACATTTTGCTGGATTTGCCTCGCTTGGTTGCAGTAAAGACCGCAATGCCACCCTTCAGACTTTTGTTCGTTTGGCACCCCAGTAAGAAATTCAACATTGTCACCGAAATTATAGGTGAATCAAATCCAGGGCAATTTGACATCAGATAACAAGTTGACGTTAGGTGACAGATTTCTCAATGCGTACTCTGAGCTATTATGCCAACCCTAATGTTCTTTTTTGATCATGTGAGTTGTGAAGAACTGTTGTATCTCGTCAGATTCAAGAAGAAGCTGCAAAATAATATAACTACATTAATTTGAGAACAGACAAATGAAGTGCTGCAATTTTAAGGCAAACAATCAAGTACCTTTTTCTTACGATCTAATACTGATTTCAGAAGCGATGACATTGACAACAATTCATTACTTTCTTGGGAACTATTTGAACCTTCAAATACGTCATCTGTTATAGGAGAATCTGACTGATCCAGTCTTAATTCACTATCAGGCGTGTCAGAAGAGAGTCGATTTAAATTTGTTACTTTTGCGTCACCACCATCTTCTTTTTTCGGCTTCTTATTTGAATCACTCCCTTTCCTTTTTTTTGTTCTTTTCTCCCCTTTATCTTTTGTCCTTGTTCCATCGTCTGTTAATGATTTTTTTCTTGAATTTGTCACTGACTTTCTAGATTTTGAAGTAGACTCATCATGAACACCTCGGATATCACACTTTTCATCTTCCATCTGCAGGAATACACAATGAAACAGTACAGTAAATCAGCTGTTTTCCCGTTACATATTCTGATAGATTTTGTTGTGACAAGTAAAGAGAACATTTCTCACCATACTGCAGAAAGAGAAACATCTATCCAGTTGAACAGCTGTTTGTTGATGAGCTCAACTTAAGGCATCTAAAGACAACACAGGCTTGACATAAGTTGGAGGACCCTAGGGAATATCCGTTCAACTATGCCGATTAATTTACCATGGATTACTTGTTACTTGAAAGGTGCAGCGGCCGCTTAAACTTTACTTTAAGAAAGACTTCAACCAACTTTTTTCAAAGCTTTGCTTTGCTTAAAACCGAGGAGAGGAGAGAGCGAGAGCCCTAAGCGAGGCTATACACATATGAGAAATTTCCCAGTAGAAATCGTTTGGTGGATGAAAAACTAGGAGGAGGCAATGATCGACGTGTGTGTGTTGTGTCGGTTGTGTCTCAGGCCTCCTGGTTGTGTTGTGGGTTGTGGGAGTTGGTTTCCTCTCGATCATCCACAAGAGTCTAGCCGGAAAGAGTTTGTAACAACGTCAGTTTTTCGGTTGGCGCGGCAGGTGTGGTAGTAGTAACGTCCGCCTGTCTCTATGACTCGGTACTCTGGCACTTTGGTTTGGAATTCCCTTTCGGAATTCGACTCGAAATCTCAGTTTGGATTCCCACAGAGTTCAGGCTAAAGGTAGCCGTATCGATTGTAGGCAAATTTGTAGCTACAAAAGGAACAGGGACGTCAGAGTACGCTTGATAGGTAGGCAACTCCTGTCCTGTACTCAGACCCGCCTGACCCGGCCGCCGAGTGGTAGCGCCACCTCTCAAGGGAGAGCGAGAGAGACAGCGCCTGCCCACAGTCATGCCGACGCGCGAGCCGACACCGCACCGGACAGTCAACTGCAGACGAAACTCTGTCGGCCTTGTTTTGGGCACGTTGTTCGCGTTCGACGTGAAAAGTATTGTGCTCCAGCTCGCTAGCAAAATGGATAGAACTCGCACCAAACCAAGCCCGCAAGATATGTGTACCACGACTAGTCTGTCTCTCACCGGCAGTCCAATGTTTGGTTATTTGGGACTGATCTTACTGTACTGTTCATAAAGCTTCGGTGTCCCGGTCTAGTCTATGATAGTCTATGATGGGGGCTAGGCCCTCACTGTTCCCCGCGTTACTCGTCTGTCACTATACTTTGGACGGCGAGGAAGCCGATGGGCCCAACTCGCCCTACGCCGCCGGCCCCTCGCCACCTTGCTCGCACGTTGCTCAGCACCGCGCCGGTCCCCACGCCCTCTCCCACTTCCCGATCAGTTGTGGACTGACTTTATGTCACTCTGTGGTTATGTAACTTTCCGAAACTTTGGTGTTATGGTTGAACCTCAGTTATGTGTTGGTGAATACGACAACCAACATGTGAAATGTGAAAGTGTGAGTGTTTGTGTGTGGGTGGTGGGGCTGCCCGCCTCCCCCATGCACTACCTGTTATCCATCATGCAACTGCGCTGTGTCTACTCTGGTGAGTTAACTCATTTATTTTAATTCCCAGTTATAGAGCATTGACCTTGGATGTACGGAATGTTTTTTGTGAATGGTTTATCATTCTAAAAGAATTATTTTGCAGTGTGTCTGCTTGTGTTTGAAGAGTCGAAAGACTCAGTACATATGTTTGCGTAACAGTGTTCACATTGTTACTTAGGGTTTATAGTGTGTAGAGAATTACCGCCTTGATCGAGGGGGCCACCACTCGCGTAATCCTGTGTACAGGTGAGGGTGTCATCCCTATGTAATCCTTATGTATTCCGTCTAATACTTGACCAAATTTTAAACCATTATCACTCAATTTCACCTTATTGTCCAAATTTAATATGGTTTGAGAGACATAACTTAAACAAAATTTATGTGTGATCACTTAAAATTCACGTGTAATCCCTGTAATCACGTAATCCTGTGTACATCCTAAATTGAAGTGGCGGCCCCCTCTACCTTGAGAGAGACGCCTCCTTGTTGACACTTTTGATCATACTACTGCGTATAAAATCTACTTTAAAATCTAATAGCCCCTTGAGTATTATCGAACAATTTTGTATTAAAATTAATTTCAACTAAACCCCCAACTGGTGGAAAACGATAAGTTACTCTAACTTCAAGTCGAAATTTGTATAACTCCCCC